AACTTAGAACCCAGACTCACATGTACAGGCTTACATCTCATCAATTTAACTAGTGTTACGGACGGACTAACGCAATCTCGATCACTCTTTTTTTCATTTTTCCTTGGGTCCTTGAGCCTAAGCTAAGTCTAATTATCTGAGTAATGGCCGGTTTTACATATTTACGTTAACATATATGCACACATAGATACGCTCGAGTATATGTAGATTAACCAAACCTTTATATATTCATCTATATCTTACATTTTGCTCGCAATGAGTATTTATATCATACAGAAAAAAGCCGGTTAGTCTCCTTAACTTGGTGTTAACTTGAGGCTTTTACAAGAATGAGTTGCAGTTCTGACGACGTTCGTCACATGACGAACAAAAGACCAGCCCGTCTTCGCCCGAAACGTTGGAAGATGTCTCGTGGACTGCATTAACCTGAACTTCCTGTTAACATCAAACGGCTGCAGTACAAGCGAATCACCCGACGTCTTTTGGCGAGATTGGCATACGAACCTCTTCATCATTAACATTCAAACGAATTGAAGTCTTCTATCAATCTTATGCCAGGAGATTCTTCCAAAGCCGCATTTTCTTTTGAGATTATTTTTATTTGGTTTACTGCGTTTCGAGGTATTAAGCAGTTTATAGAATCTATCTCAAACTTCGTTGCTTAATAGACTATGAATGATTACGAAAATTTATTCTTTACTAACCTTTAAGAAGTTCCCAACTTATTGATTCTGTGTAATTTGTATTTTGTTAATTGTTACTTAAATTTGTATTCAGTAAAATTTTCTTAAAAACACCTTTTATATCTTTATCTCATCCTATTTTGCTTAAAAATTCAAGAATGTTATTTTATTACCATTTCTTCTATTGAGTTGTACTTACATGTGATATCACTTATTAACTGCCTTTAATTTGCTTTTATTCTTTTTGTAGATTGATCTATTCGATTTGGAAGCTGTCTGTCTAGGTCGACTCCAACGCCTTACAGTTTGGCATACTGGAGATCGTCCCGCAGATAGCTGGTACTTGGATGAGATTATAGTCCAACAACTCCCCGCTTTCTACGCTGGAGGCAGTCTCCTGACTGTTCGTCGAACCGAACCTCTGATCCTGACCACAGCAACCAATTCTCTCTCTTCGTCCCCCTCTTCAGTTTTCTCCTCTAGTCCTGTTTATACAACTGCCACTTCATCTCCTTTCATTAAACCGCCCTTAACTCGACCTATAGCTGCAGCAACCACAAGGTCCACCATGCCTAATGAGACGTCCAGCTCACTGCCAAAATCTCCCGTTTCAAATTTCGTCACTACAAAGGAAGAGGAGAGGATGAATTGCAATGATATTTCAGTGGTTCGAGAGCAGGAGTCGATTCATGAGTCAGATTTTGAGTCTGGACGAAGACCAGCCTATCGGATTCTAAATGATCGAAGAATGATGAAGCATAGTGAAATGCCGATTGGACAGGTAACGGGTGCTCTCCTATAAATATGAGGTATTTTTTAATGCGTTATTTGTTAGTTTTAACTTTTTAACTGCCAATGTTGATTCTATAAAAAAAATCATCTGACGTCACGACTACTACTTATTTTCATAGATCTGAAGACCAAGATAGTGTGGCCTTTTGTTTGGTCTCAGTCTCCGTAAGCTGTATACTGCTGGCTTGACTTTGCCATTCAGAAGGTTGGGAAAAGGCCCGGTCTTCACTGAAATTCACATCTGCCCTGTGGCCCAGGGGCACTTGTGGCAATTTGGCCGAGTAGTTAACGTGTCGAGCTTACACACTGCACTGTCAGGGTTCGATTCCCGCCGAGGGTATTGATAAGGCGAAGGCGAGGTCGAAACTTCCGTCAATCCTGGATGGGAACACCTTTTAGGAAAGCAAGGCTGTGTGAAATTTAATAGAAATGTCAGCTTCACTCATATCATTGTGGGAAAAATCTACTACCAGTCCTTCATCACATTAAGCAAAATAGGATGAATACATCTCATATATAAGGTGTGTTCATCCTATTTCGTTTAAATTGATGAAGGACTGGAAGTTGAATTTTCCCACAATTATACTTTTACATTTCGCATAGCTTTTCTTTACCATATATATATATATAT